GTTAGAAGTGAACTCGTGCACGAGCCAATACTTGTATTTCATACCATGACCACATCAAATATATGTCTTGGGGCACGGCATTGGTTGTTGCCATATGTCTAGTCAGACTCATTTCATCTCATCCTTTATGAAAGCACATTCAAATATATATATATTGGTGAACCTTATGCTTTGCGCTCATCTTGACTTATTTACGACAGGTGATGTACTCTTTTCTTGATCGACTCATTAATCTGGGGCTTCCTAGGACGAGGGATTTTCAAGGCGTGAGCTCCAATAGCTTTGATGGGAATGGAAACTACAGCATTGGCTTCCGTGAGCAGAGCGTTTTCCCGGAGATAAGTTATGATATACTCGGTAAGCCACGGGGAATGGATGTTTGCATATCCACAATAGCTAATACAGATAAAGAAGCCCATAAATTACTTGCTCTTATGGGAATGCCATTTAGAGAAGGTGGTGGTGGCCCTACAACCGTGGTACGGAAGAAAAAGCTTAAATCTCACCATTTTGACTCGAAGTCGAAATCAAGGCAAAGAACCCAGAAGAGGTAAACCTCGTATTTTGTCAAGGAACCAAGAGCCCGTTTATGTTAATTGTAAAATAATATTTGGTTAGTTTCTGACGATAATGTTGTTCATATGTATTTAGCTAGTTTTTCCCAAAATTTCAATTCTATAATTTTGAAATTTATGCGTTTTGATCATTGAGAGGCTCTTTAACTTCTAGTTTACGAAATTCGTTCCCCCTTTACATTTACGCCAAGGACCCTCAATTCAACATTAGGTCAAATTGATCTTGGCATTCTTTGCTTATCGGATTTTGTTACAGATTAAACAAATAATTTGTATTATCAAGAGCAATTAATAACGTGAAATAAGAAAAATATAAGCAAGAATAACACACGATATAATGTACTTCATCTCCTATGTAAAAGTTGGTCACATTAGGTGTAGCTGTTGAATTGCACGAAATCGAAAAAGAGAATTGTGATACGTTTTGGATTCACGCCTCTTTTCTTTATACTACGATACACAAAAAATGGAAGCTCGCCCTTAATACCTTTCATCTAGGAAAGTACCCCTAAATAAAATATTAAGGGTCCGTTTGATTGCAAAGGTGGAAAGAAAATGTTTTAATGGGAATTGAATTCTCTAGAAATTGTTTTACTGGAAATTGTAATTAATTGTGTTTGATTGGTATAATTTTCCACCCGAAAAATGTTGAAAGTTTGGTATCCGTTTGACTTTATTTTTTATGAAAATTGTCCATTAAAGTGATAATTTTTTTCTACCATTGCGTCTAGAATTTGTTCCAATTACCAAAAAGTAATTTTTTAAAAAAAATTAGAAAAAATTACCATATCAAATAACATTCGTCTGACTTTGTTTTGCATAGAATTTGTCAACAAAAGTGAAAATTTTTTTTACAATGGATGATAGAATTTGTTGTCATTGCTAAAAAAAAAAGAAAAAAAAAGGTGGAAATTGCTTTCCCACCTAATAGGTCGGAAAACAAAATCAAGCAAATGTGCATCAAATGATTGTACCTAGAGAAAGGTGGGAAAAACAAAAGTCAGACAAATTTGTGCTATCAACAAACGCACCCTAAAGGATTGTACCTAGAAAAAGGTGGAAACATTTTGCCAGAATAATTTGTGCGATCAAACACCCTTAATTGGCTAAAGTTTGAAAATATTTTCTTTTTCCACCCATTTTCTAGGCTATCAAACAGGGCCTAAGTTCATTTTTAAATCTGGGACAAATCTGGTTTCCTTTAGAACCAAAGTATTTCCATTTTCTAAAAGTAGCTTAACAATATCAATTCTACTTATTTTGAAGGCATAGTTATTTCCCATTATAACTTGCTCTCCTTTGGTTTTAACAAAATAAATGAAACAGTTTTTGTTTGGATACATATGAAAGGAACGGCCTAAGTCAAGTATCCATTCATTACTCAGTTTCTTTCCAATGCTTGCAAGAACTAGACCATTCTCAGTTTCGACTTTATTAAGAACAAGGACAGTATGGAGTTCAACAAAACTACGGTCAATTGATATTTTGAAAGTTTTTCATCACAATTGGTCAAGTCTTGATTAGGTTTAGTAAATTTGTTCAAGTTTTCATCGAAATCAGCTGAAGGATCCATTTCAAGTTTTAAAGGTTTGTGATCGTGGGCGATATATATATATATATATATATATAGGTTATAATTTGTAAAATAATAAAAAGTTTAGATACTAAAATTACATTTATTACTTTTTAATTTTGACATTGTTACTGTTTTTAACGAAAAATATGACAATAGTGGAGTTTTTCGCACAAAAATTTCAAAAAGAGGGGTTTTCTGCAACTTTCAATAGGTAGATGTTATATCGCAAATGAAAACATTTTTAGAGAGCTTTTTTTGCATATAATTCTTAAAAATTCTATGTGGTCTTTAAGCAGCAAATTAAACAATTAGTTGAATGTTTCACTTTCAGATCTATTGTCTCTTTCTTTAATTGTTTTCTCCCTATGAATTTGACATATCATAGTAATTCTAAATTGAATGCTTAAAAGAGAGCCCAAATGAAGGAACATCAGATCCAGACTCCACTTAGACACCATTTATGTGTAACTAACCTCTTTTTGTTATAGCTTTTCCCCAAGCTAAGTTATGATGAAAAGCTGACTTTAACTTCATTATGTAACATTATATCTTAGTAGGATTTGTTATGCTTTAGCGGAAAAACAGAATGTTTTGCCGGTTACATTCTTTAATTTAGCTATTGCCTTCTAATATTCCCATGCATGGATCGATGTCCCCTTTCTTTAGCATCTATTTTTTTTTCCTTCCTTAGTCATCTGTTTGGTTCAGCTGAAGCTGATTATAATTTAAATTAAAGTGGATTTACAACTTTTCAACTACACTTTCCGTCAACTTTTATTATAATATGTTAAAAAAATGTTATAGTTCATCGAATGAAGGAAAACAAAAATAGAAATGAGAAATGAAAAAAAATATGCTACGTCATAAAAAGTTAAAATAATAAAGAAAAAACATTCATTTTAATCTTGTCATAACCATCATTTTCATTTGTAGGGTGTACTGAAAGGGATTCAATAGAGACAACTTAAAATTTAATTTTCCCATTGAGGTTTCAATGAAAGTTCAGTGATTACTGTTGAAATTTACTCCAAGAAAATATTTGTCTACGTGCAACTCCTCACGTTTTCCACATTATTATCGCCTAACCCACACGTCAAAAATCAACACTCATTTCTCTCTTTCACACCTAAAGACACACGTGGCGAAAGAATATAAAAGAAAAGATTGTCAAGCAAGCTTTAGTTAACTAATCCACAAGGCAAGTAAGCTTCTATTTGTTCCACATTTTTAGAAAAAAATGTACCGTTAAAGGGCTCCACTTGGCCTTTTTTTTACTTTCACCTCACTCTTTCCTTGGATTGCATGCTCAAACGGTACAATTTCGCACTCTCTTATTTCTAATAATGTCGTCCAAATAGGGGCTAAAAAAGGAATAGCAAACAAACTATTTGGTACGAAACTCTACGTTTTATCTCGTTATAAAATGAACAACTCACACACACTAAGACACATATGTTTAGAGAAACAATAAACAATGTAGAAGAAGAGATTGGTTAGTAAGCCAAGAGGGCTTGAACTAGGCATAAGGTTGATGGAGAAGGAGCATAGCTTTTTCCTTCATTTTTAGAAAAAATTGTACCGTTGAAGGGCCCCACTTGGCCTTTTTTTTTTGACTTTCACCTCACACTTTCCTTGAATTGCATGTTCCCACGGTACAATTTCTCATTCTCCTACTTCGAATAATGTCGTCCAAATAGAGGCTAAATAAGGAATAACAAACAAACTCTTTGGTACGAAGCTCTTCGTTTTATCTCGATATAAAATGAACAACTCCTTGCACACACAAAGACACATATACGTTTAGAGAAACAATAAACAATATAGAAGAAGAGATTGGCTAGTAAGCCAAGAGGGCTTGAACTATCCTGAATAACCCATAAGGTTGAAGGAGAAGGAGCATAGCGAATCAATTCTTGACCAATTAAAGGTGCGAAGCCGTTTAGTTTAGTTTTATCTTAATATAAATGTTGTTTTTCACGCGTACGCAAAGACACAATAAAGAAGAGATTGGCTAACAAGTTCAGAGGGCTTTCGTTGCCTTGATTAAATTTGAAAGCTAGCGAACAAAGAGTATAACGAATCAACTCTTATTTAAACATGTAAAATGGTTTGTTTTTATCTTATCTTAATATGAAAAGAGCATTCCTCTCTCGCACACACAAAGAGACACGTACTACACATGAAGAAACTACATAAAAAAGAGATAAAAACACTTTGCCCACCAAAACCACCTTTAATAGTGCTTCAATCATTGTAGTAAACAAATAGCGACTCAGTAACAGAAAGTTGTGCCCCACTGCAAGCAAAGTTAGCCATCACCGCCATACACCAAAAATACACACACACAGACTGCCTTCCTCTCTCTTTCCTCTCATTACGGTGCAAGAAACATTAGTTAGTCTGACATTAAAAGCCCGACATTGTTACGAGTTTTAGGGACTTAGAAATTTAAAAAAGGTCAAACAGACAGCCTTTTTTTTTTTTTGTTTTCCTTTTCTTGTTGCTTCTTCTTCACTTTCCTCCGTTTTCCCTCACTTTATTTCGCCTTTTGTTTATTTATTAAGACACTCCAATTTGTAACGTTTTTTTATTAGTTTCTTTACTGAGTCTAACAACTCAGGCAAATTTTCTTGTGTAATATGGAGAAGCAAAATACGTTTATGAATGAACAGAATTGTAGCTCAGAACAACTTGAGAGTTACTTTTTCAATCCAAATTGGGACAATTCAATGAATCAAAACGATCCCTTTGAGTCTGCATTGAGTTCAATGGCTGCAACGAATGTGATTATTGGTGACAACATTGCTGTAAGAGAACTTATTGGTAGAATAGGCAATTCGCCTCCGGAGCGCAAACTGTCAATGCTGGATCATCAGATCTCCCGAGGGAATTTCCCAATGAATGGAAATCGATTTTCATCTCCTCCCAGTTCTGCACCATTTCCTGCGGATCTGGGATTTGCAGATAGGTCTGCGAGATTTTCTTGCTTTGCTAACAAGAATTTAGGGGCAGTGATGAATGCCCAACTCGGATCAACTGAAGCCGAATTGCTTCACAGATCGGCAACAAGTTTGGAACATGGCAAGAATTCGAGCTATCAGTCTGAAAAGGCTGAATTTTGTGAATCAAGGGAGAATTCTTCGATCTCTGAACGGATCTCAGGTAGGGAAGTTGGAACAAATAATGCAAATGACAGAAAGAGGAAAGCAATTCGAAGGGGAAAGGCAAAAGCAATCCCTTCATCAAATTCTGCCAATGTAATTTTTTTGTCCATTTCAAGAATTCTCGAATTACGAATTGTAGATTTCATGGGTTAATTTTCTTATAAATTTTACTGCAGGTTTCATCAGAAAATAGTGGATCAAGTGCAAAAAGAAGCAAGCCAGGTGATGACAAAGGTTCAGATCCTCCAAAGGACTATATTCATGTTAGAGCCAGAAGAGGCCAAGCTACAGATGCCCATAGTCTTGCTGAAAGAGTAAGAATCCTCGAAATACTGATTTTAATTTTTCTTCTGTTGTCTGTCTACCCAAGAATACCTTAAAGTGGTATTTTTAATCTTTCTTATTCGACTCCATGTTTGGTTATATTTCTGTCATCAGGTTCGAAGAGAGAAGATCGGTGAAAGAATGAAGTTCTTACAAGATCTTGTGCCGGGTTGCAACAAGGTATTTGCCCAATTCGCCAGATTTTCGAACTAATTGCACATCATTATTTACTGTTGAAAATTGTAAAGGCATACAGTATATATATTCTTAGGTGACTGGGAAAACTGTCATGCTTGATGAGATTATAAATTACGTGCAGTCTTTGCAGAGACAAGTTGAGGTAAATCAAGATTTATTTTGAAGTTCAGTTGTAATCTGAAAGGAATGGTTATTGATGATTTAGTTATTTGATTATGTAGTTCCTTTCAATGAAATTGGCTAATGTGAATCCTACCATAGACATCAATATGGAAGCTCTTTTGTCTAAGGATGTAAGTTGAAATTTTATAAAATCGCACTCTTCGAATCCGACTCCAAATTTGGTAGTAACCCCCTTCTTTCTTTCGTTCCTTTTTTCCAATTTTCAGATGTTTCAATCTCGTGGAGCGATTCATGATAACCTACAGCCGTTGGATACCTATCCTTTCCAATGTCAACAAGCACCAAACTTGCACAGTGTCGTCCCTAGTCAAATTGATGCCTTCCCAACAAGCCATTTCAATGATGCCACGGGTCGAAATCAGAGCAAGCAACAGCTTCCTGTGGACAATTTTCGCGAAGCGGTAAAGAAATAACTTTCACTGCGTGTTGAACATGACTAGTCAGTATCATGAAAAATAAAAATTTAAGTTTATGATGATGATCAACTTGTTGCTTAGGTTTCGACATTCTGGGAAGATGATCTCCATAGCCTTGTTCAGATGGGAATTGGTCAAAATCAGACACAAAGTTTTCATGGTTAGTAATATCGATTTGATTACTGATATTGAAGATATTTAGATGTAATTTTACTTGCGACTGAGAATTCGATATCTTATTCATCTCCAATATAGGATTCTCTCCACGGCACAGAAGAAAGCTGAACGATGAGTAATAGTTTTCAGCATCAATTTAATTCATTTTGGGCCGACGGAGAGAGGCTTCTGTATATACTGAGGAATTGTATTTGAAAAAAGATCAGTTGATGATCAATACAAAGAAATAGAACATTCTTGTCATTCTCTTTAGGATGGTCGGCACAAAGTCGAAAATAATCTCGTGTTCTTCTCATTTATTGAAAGCAAGACTTAGTTTGTGTTGTTTTTCCTTGCGTGTTTACTTTTCGAGCAATCTGCATGACTTCCCTTTAATTTGGTGGTAATAAAAATTGTCGATTATTATATTGGGAAGCAAGTCTATTTTCTTCAAGGAGAATGATTTGGTGGCTCTGCGATTAACCCGTTTAACCTTAAATTTCATAATATGTAGAGCGTCTTTCATACGTTTAACTCGACAGTACTATAGAAAATAACCTATGAGTAGTGTTCATTAAAAGATACCAAACATCACCATTGAGGAATAGAGTATAATTTGTAACTGTCAGTGGGGACAAACGCTGTCTTGAGTTGGTTTGATTAAGGATGATTTCCAGCAGAGTGATGTGCAATAAACAAGCCATTTTGTCAACCCTCTGATCTAACTGTGTACCATACATAATATGCACTTTTTGAAGTTAATTTATAATGGGAATTCAAGGGTGGCAGGTTGGCAATGGTGGAGTTGTGACTTGGCTAAGGAATCAGAAGAATTTTAAAATCCCATCAAACTTTACCAAGGACAAATAAAAGAAGAAAGAGTTAATTTCACAAATGATCATTGAAGTTCAAGAGAAATTTTGTACTGGTCCTTAAAGTATTTTAGTGACCCATTAATGTTATATAATTGGTAAATTCATCAGCCTGATTAACGTCATAGACAACGTACCAGCCGTAAACCTTGACATGGCTGATGACCGTTTTAGAGCCAGATGTGGTCCAACTCATCTTTTGTTTCTACTCCATCGTAACCTTTTACTATTTATTATGTGAGGTTTTGCTTTAAAGAGTCATATTTTATTTTGAAGATTTACAATTTCACAACATGGACACAATAATCGTTAGTCGATATCAAGGTAGCGGGACCACATCGGATGTGGAGAGGAGTCAAGAGTGGACGTTGCTTAAAAAGATATCAATTATGTAACGAAATTTAATATTAGCTACTCAATGGGTCAAACAAATACTTTAAAGACCAATTTCAATTTTCAGTTGAATTTCAATGATCAGTTGTAAAATTAACACAACCAAGAAAATTAGTGGAAATGTGGAATGTACATGTAAATATCCTTCAACATAGACCATAAAAAACTGTCACTTAAATCTTCCAAATTTTCCAACTGAAGAAATCTGCAAATTCAAGCATTTCTTCTCTAATAGAACAGAATTTCAGAAAGTAGCATTTCTCAACCTCTTCTCAAGAGTCGTACTTAAATTTTCCACGTATATAGCAAATTAGTTTCCTGCTTGATTAAATATTTGAGTGAGACCCTTAATTTTGGTTTCTTGAGGTCTACGCATTCTCCTTTACGAGAAAAAAATTCCCTGTTGGAGATCAGCGGTCTTAAATCCATGGGCTGAGTTTCATGGTGGATGAATATCGGATTACATACTAATTGATTTTCAGATGATATGATTGAAACTCGATCCTACAAGTAATATAAGGGCTAAGGTCGTAGTTTCGCGTCAAAAGAACTTCATTTTGATGGATGGATTATTGGGGCGCAACAATGCTGCTCTCAATGTCATAGTTTTGGTGTGCTAATTTTACACTTTAAAAACAAAACTTTGTGACATCAACTATGTTGTAATCCATATAATATTAATTTAGAAAGGAACGTGGTAACTGTTATGGCTCGTCTGACGGAGCTCCAAAAGTCCTACGTGACATGAGAACCTAGGTCCGCACGCCACGACACATTGCCCAAGAAGTAGTTTGGTCAAACCCCCGTGAAGAGTCTAAACCTATGTGGAAGGTCGAACCCATTTGTTGGAGTCGACCCCATATAGAGAATCGAATCCTCATGATGGGACAAGGCTGCAAAGGGTTTAGCAGGAGATCTTCTGTACAATCCTTAGTACATGATTGATGTGACAATTCACTGTTATGATCGCCATAGATCGAACGCATTTGTTGGAGATGATCCGATATAGGGCGAGGCTACAAAGGGCTTAGTAGGAGATCTTCAGTGCAATCCTTAGTAAATGATTGATGTGACAATTTATTGTTACCATCGCCCTAGATCGAAGTTGGAGTTGACCTGATATAGAGAATCAAACACTCATGATGGGGCAAGGCTACAAAGGGTTTAGCAAGAGATCTGTGCAATTCTTAGTAAATAATTGATGTGACAACTTACTGCTACGTCACCCTATTTAGCCAAGCAGGTCAAGTCTAAGCCCTATGTTAGGTTTATGGGCAACAAAATTTTATTAGCATTAAATGCTTAACATTAATTGATACATTTGACAAGAGGCTTCAGCCGCATCGATGTGGCCATGTATACTTTCATCCAACGGTCGATATCCTTCCCATTCTACTACAAAAGTTCACACAACATTTCATTCTAAGGGTAATGCAAGTTCAGACTTCCAAGCTATAACTTTGATCTCTTTATTATTACAAATTCTCCCCAAAGTTGACTCCCTTTTTATAGTGAAGGCTTGCGTTTAAAGTAACTCACATGACCCACTATGGTCTACTTGCGTTTATAGTGAAGGCTTTCAAATACTTACAACTCCAACTGACTTGACAGTCGGAGTGCGTGTGGCCAACTCCACCATAATTGGAGAAAGCCACGTGTGGCTAACAGTTTGTCGTAGTGTGCATGAATCAGGCTTACGTGGACATGGGAGGCTTTTTGAACTGTTGATCATGTTGGAAGTACAACAATGGAGGTCAATTGTAACTTAACGGAAAAACAAAAGAGGTAGTTTACGAAGTTAAACAAAATGAAGTTGGATTATCAAAAATAAAATTTAGCGGATTCAAATAGCAAGGACATATATGTCGATCTAATTGACGTAAAAAAATAGTGGCCAAGTGACATCAAAATAAAGATGAGTGACTAAACTGAAGCTTTACCTAAAGTTAGGTGACTAACAATTCTCTATTTCTTGAATTAATTGAATTCACAAATTATATAAACAAATTATATTTCTGTTGGATTATCTATAGGCTCTTTGGATATAAAGTTATTGAGAAGTTATTGAAATTTTATATCAATTGAGTAAGACATGAGATTCTCTAAGATTTTTATGTCCGACTAAAGTAACTCACATGACCCACTATGGTCTATGGAAGCTACACGTCCAACATGGACGAACATGCATAGCCATAAGTCGCGAGCTTTCATTGAAATATACGAGTTTGAAATCTCCTAATCTAATAATTCAAATACTTTGGAGAAAATAAATAAAGGTGGAGTTCGAAAAAAAATTACTTTTATATACTTTTACTTTTTCTTTTTTCCATGTCTTTCCGTCTCTTTTCTTCGTTCCTTTTCTTTCTACGAGAATTAAGACTATCAACGATATAGTTGAACATGAGTACACAATCAGTAAAAAAAAGGGAAAAAAATGTTGTAATAAATGGCTCATATAAACGGAACACATGTTTGCTAAAATTAGAATTAGTATATACAGATAATGTAATCCTATTATTCATACATAATAAAATATATAGTCGCTTCAATCCCGTGGACGTAGGCATATTGCCAAACCATTTAACTTTGCATCCTTATTTCTATGTCAATTTCATATTCTTCAATCATTATTATTATTGCTCAAATCACAACAACAATCGAAAACAGACATAATTTTAACCAATGTTATTAGGAAGTGTGAGAGCCAAAAGCAAAATGCAAGAAAGAAATTTAATCCAAATAATTAGTCCATGTTTGGTGTAGCTAAAAAATAGATTTTTAGTACGCTTTAATAAAAATTGATGAAATATGTATTTGAAAGTTGATAAAAATTATGAGTCCAACTAAATGTGTCATCAAAATTATTTATTGACTTTGACCTTAACTTAAACTTGAGCAAAATTTTAAGTTACACTCGGGGGCTTACTCTTTCACTAACCTAACTATATGATACATGTGCTCTAAAATGCACGCATATGCTTCGCATATGGGGTATGTACTTGATAATGCGGTCGACCTATTTCGTTGACTGCTTATGCACTCTTAAAACGTTAAAATGTGCACGTATTTGTGTTAAAAATTATGTCAAAATCAGTCTAGCAAAGCTCAATCCATTTTTATAACTTAAAAATGCAAATTGGACCAACAAATATTAAATTAACCCAAATCACCGAAGTCCATGAATTATATAGAGCAATCTATAATGATTTGACGTCAAAAAAAAAACCAAAAATTAGAATAAATTTTAGTAGAGTTGGAAACTATTTATATCGAGCCCGAACCTCTTTCTTCTTCGGTCTTTATTTATTTTTACTAGCAAATGATGTTAGTAATGGACAATGTTGGATTGTTGATGGTTGTGATGATGAGAATGGGGTTGATAATGATATCATACCATCTATAAGCGGTAATAGAAATTCTTGAGTTGAAATAAGGGAGCCCAATGAAGATGATTTTATATTGGATAACACGGAATATAACTTGGATGAAGAGACGTTTGATTGGAATCTGATAAAAAGTTAGACTATATTTAGATTTTTTTAAGCCAATGTTCGTATTTAATCTAATTGTAGGAATCAATAGTATTTACGATTTTGAACATTATGTTTTTTAAAAATTTTGAAGAGTGTGTTTAAAGTTAAAGTAATTGCAATATTTATGATTTTGAGCAATATTTTTTAAAAAAATTTGAAGAATACGTATAAAGTTTTAAAAATGCATTATTTTATTTATTTAGTAGTTTAGAATATTAAAAATTAGAAAATGCATATTACGCATATGCTCGCATATTCTTGCAATGCTTGATATTCGATCGAAACTCATTGTCACACATTACGCATTTTAGAACCTTGTATGATACTCTTAACTAAATTATT